CAGCTCGCCAAGAATTGATGAGATGCTGTCAATTTTGCCGCCCAATTCAGAAAAGGAAGAATAAAAATAATAATTTAAAAAAAAAAGTGACCAAATCTGTGGTTGGATCTTCGGCCTTATTCAGTCTAGGAGAATGCCAGGATTCACCACCAACTGATAACGCTTGAGTCACAGTATAAGCTCCCTTCACAAAAATAATACCTGCACTCTACAACAAAACCAAAGCCCAGGTAATAGTGTGAATAAGCCAAGCTAGTGGAGTAGCCATGTGATGCTTGGAATTCTGTTGCGACTGAGTATTATGTAACAATAACAGCACATTTTGTTAGCTAGGAATGGTAGATTTTATCACATGTTCTGCAAACAAGAGACGTTCATGAGTCTCACATGGGTTGCTCATCTGTCAGGGCCACTGTCTCATGGGGTGGACGAATGGCAGCTAGCAGAGAAAGATGTAGCGCTAGTGACAGATGATGCGTCTAATATGATCATAGCCGCTTCAGTTGGAAGTGTCCCGTGCCGCTACTTGAAAACCTTTTTGTAGAATACAGCACTGCAGGAGGTTTTTTTTTTGAGAATTTACCATCTTCACACAACAGAAAAGCTAGGTCTATAATATTTCACTTTACAATTTAATGGAAGACATTTCTTTAAACATTTGATATTATGAACAAGTACACTATATCATATAAATGAGGTGTTTCAGACTCATTGTAATGTTTGCCACATTCAGCAAGTGCCCTGTTTTACAACATAAAACGAAGTCACTAGAAGCTGCAGCTAGAGCAGACAAGCATTTGTTTTGTTTTTCAGCACAAAAGTGGCCTTAAAGTTCTATTGAAAAAAACATTTTTGTAGATTACGCCTGTAATGCACTGCAGAAGAACTTTGATGCTACAACTGGTAGTTATGCCTATAGCTCTGATAACATTTAAATATTGGCCAGCAATATCGTGCAACCTTTAGACATCTTGACATTTAATGAATATCGCCTGTTATCAATATATTAATGGAGATCCATAATGCTTTGCTCCTTAAAATAATTTTGTAAAAAACACCTGACCACCCAATGAGAGCTTTAGTTTCCCCCCCCAACAATAAGCATTAGATTTTGTTTGTGGAAATTTCACCCGAAGACTGACCTGATGAGTAGTCAAGTCAGGTGTGTTGGCTGGGAAATTAGGTGAAATACTGATTTGGGCATCCTCTCCAAAGGCAGTATTAATTTTACATCAGAGATTGTACAGGAGGAATTAAGAACATCTACAAAGTCCAGGCACAAACTGCCTTATGAATATTGGTAAACACCAAATAAAAAAAAAACACAGAATGAGCAAATGCCATCTAAACACACCTACACGTTGAACATTAGGTCTTATATAATCAAGTCAGGAAGTAGCACATCTTTAACAGCCTGCTAGTCCAAGTTTACAAAATTAACAGCAGGTATTTCTCTCCCAGTAGCCATTTTGCTTAAGGCAGGGAAAATTTAAGTGAAAGAAGTGTTTCAGAGGCTTCCAGCAAACTAAGCCCAAAGGGAAAAATAGATTTGGATGTCTGGGACTGAAAGCTACATCTGAAAGCTATTCCATGCAGTAGCTACAGAATGAAAAATTCAACTAGAGAACACACTGCCACAATAAATGTTACTGGAATAACATTTTACCAGCTGCCCTGGTAAGAAACCACTCATCTGTACTTATAACCCATCAGGCTATTATAGGAAATGCTGTCACGGGAAGAGAAATTAGACAAAGGGGAACAGCAGGCCTCTCAGTGGTCTTGACACCTTCCAGGACTGATCAGGGAACCGGGCACTGCAAAGGCACAGCAGGATGGCTGAACGGGGTAGAGCAGCCTAGGGACTGAGTATTGGCAAGAACAGATGATGCAGCCAAGGGAGACCATAGCTTTGCTACCCCAGCGGGCATGTTCAGTCAATTTCATTCATTTTTATTAGTACAATCCATGCATGCCACAGGAGCAATCCAGCGTACCTGACAAAGAGACAAACTAATGTGCATCTGAGCAACTTGAACTAAAAGGAATTTTATGCAAAACTGAAACTAAATATACGAACCTAAATTACTTAGTCACAAGTTTTGTTCTGACTTAACATGTGCAAATATAAAATGTAAGGACTAGACTCAAATGGACTAGACTGACAGAACTTTCTAGTTTTTGATTTATTCAGGGTTTTCACTTCCGAAGAAACAAGTGAAACTGAATACCTGAAAACTACTTCCTTCCAGGACATTTCATAACAGACAGATTCTTGTGATAATGTAAGGAAAGCCTTGTTTATCACAAAGGTGGGGACTTGCTATGCCAAATTTATACTATTCGTAATGTAGAGCTACCAGCAAGAAAGGGCCTGGGCTAAACAAAAGTAAGTTCTATTTTCAGGTGTGTCTTCTGGGCGTCATGGAGAAAGAAGGTGACGTCATCCACTCAAAGAGCGGCAGCATGGCTAATAAGATGCCCTCTATGTTCATGGAGCTCCTGCTCTAAGCAGGACAGTACAGGAACACTTGGAGGAAGTGTAGATACTGTAGTAATCCACTGTAGGAGCTAGAAGAATGATCCACATCCTTCCAGAAAAATGCAGATGATACATTTGGAAGCGGAGATGGAAAGTTCAGGTCCAAAAAGTACACAAAGGTACACAGGTAAATTATTTTATTATTATTATTATTTATTATTACAAATCCAGATTTGTAATAACAGGTTGAGTATAAAGAGTATAAAGCTGGTTGGTTGAACCAAAGCCCCAGTCAGGATTTGTACTTTCTGCACCTGAACTTTCCACATTTGTTCTGCAGTCTTACTTCAAACCAATATCAAGCCAACAACTTTGCACTTTCCACAACCTATTTAAAAGTAAAAACCATTCCGAATTTAAAGGTACTCTGCAAGAACTCACTTTAAATAATTGTAGGATGAACAGTGAAATAAGTGAATTTTCCAACTATTTCTGGCTGAGGGTTGAAAATATGCTCCAGGGACTTGGATGTAATTCTCAGGTAATTCTCATGTGCTATGACAGTTGGGGGAAAATACATTTTTAAAGACTACAACATTGTAATAAACTGTTCCACAAAAAACTAATTCAGAATGCTTCCTAGTTGTTTTGTCTCATTAGCAAGTCATTTTATCTAATAAAATAACAAAATGGACAACTGCCAATGACAATATGTAGAAACTATCCTTTAAGTGTCCATGAAAAGCTAATGCATATTTGTTAACAGAAAACACAAAATGTTACAGAAATAGAAGACACACCTTGATATCATGCTGTAAGGTCAATAAATACAGAACTTAGCTCAAAGTCTTCATTTCATAATACATTAAGCTTTATTCTAGGGACTGTACTACTACATTTCCTGATATCTCAGTGACATACTTTTTGAAGGGTAATTGCCATTATCTAACTAAAAGGGAACTAAAGTGGAATATATGACACAGCGCACACTAACAAGGAGAATTGTGCTGGATTCACCAGGTTAGATTACAAATAGTTGATGACGGAGTGCTTTGTGCAGGTGAAAACTACAAGCCCAAAATAGTTTGAAACAGGGACTCAGTACACTACTCCAAATTACCACAATCATTTCAATTTCACTTATGAGTTTCTAAAATATACAGGGCAAGGTCAATTTCATAACCTTGGAAAAATATATTTCAAAATAAAATACCTGTTTAGGCTAAACATCCATGCCAAGCTACTGGACCCTAACTGAGAGAAAGGGAAATATATTGTTTCTTGAACAGCCTGGCACTGCTAGCCAAAAAGGCTAAGACAGCAAAGCACAGCTCCAGTATGACTAATGACTGAAATAGCCTGTCACGTTTAACATTTCAGAACCATGTACGGTAGGACAGGACCTAAGAAAAGAGAATTATCCCATCAAACACTGCATTTTCGTTGCGCCGGCACAATGACATTTCTTCAATCTTGAAATCTAGATGCGCCAAAAGTAACACTGCTAAACCGAAAAATTCAATCGTGAATATGAATACATCTAACACAAAAACTGTCAAAAATAGATTGAGTGATGATTTACCGTGTTGACATCCCTATGGTAATCGCACACAAATGCAGGAATAAGCAACCAACATCCATCTTTCTCCTCATGAATGTCTCAAAATTAGGAAACTAAAAAATACTCGACAAAGGTTAATGTAAGAGTTAAACTATGAACTCTCAACGTACCCTATAACATTCCGGAGAATATTAAGTGCTCTTACTGACCTGAGATCAAGTAAAGTTCAAGCGCAAGAACAACCAGAATCTTACAAAAATAACAGTTCGTTAATATTTAATGTATTATTTAAAAAGAATGCAGTTACCAAAATACCACTACAAATCCGACTGGACTACTGATCCATTTATCCACCCCAATAACTTCCTTCATCAAACTAGTAAGTAAAAGCGTGTTATCAAGTCAAATTTATTGACTGTAAATTACAGAAACCACTGAATGACTTAATAGGTGGTGTTCAGATGAGGGTGTATAATCTGGGACCGGTAGAGTTAGTCTGATGAGCCTCGTCAAGTCGTCCAGTTTACCAGGAATAAACTACCCCTTACACTGACCCCTGTCCCGGGTTCAGATTAACCGACAGATCCAAGTTTAACATACAGATGGTAAATTAAGTAACACACACACACACACACACACACACCAAAGACCCATCTAACGAAAAGCCGGTCGGCCGTCAACTTCCCATACATTCCGCCATAATTCACACATTTCGAGCCGCTGGATACGTAACACACAGGCGAGCTGAACTGAGGCGTCAAACCAGCCCCAAAGCCCCCAGAACCGGCCCGAGCCTCCCAACCGGCGAAGCGCAGGCCGGCAACGGACAAAACCCAGCCGACGCCGGCAAAGATACAGCAGAGTGAAATTAAATCCGACACCTTCATACCGAATGTATCTCAAACTTCGGAAAAAAATTAAAAAGCGGTTCGCCAAAGCGCCCATGAGGCCACTAACCTTGTGGATTCGTTTCAGCGCCATTCCTTCTCCGTGTGTGGCTTTCAGGAGAGCTAGCGAGCTAAATCGCTTAAAAACAAGATAACTAAACGTCGTGTTTATCCCCCTCAACAGACGGCGACCGTAAGAACAACGAAGACGTATAAAACTAGATGTCCAGACAAGCTCCCTTATATGTATTTCTGCCTTTTTCAAACAGTCTTCCTCCGGTCCAAATGAGGACTAGCCAACGCTGCTGCCGGCGCGCCGTCCCTCTACTGCTATCTGCTCGCTCCCGCGGAGTTGCACAAGATGTCCGCGACTGCCGGGACTACACACCCAATGCGAAGCGGGCGGGTCTCTCTGGTGTATCACTCCGCCCACGCCGCGCTACAGTAAGCGGCGCCCTGAGATTGCGCACGAGGGGCGGTGGGCGTGGCCGGTAGTGTCATTTACGGCGCTGCGCGTTATTCATTTCCTTCCCGCATGTTACACTGTTATTGGCACGGCCGCTGCTGACTACTAACATCACAAACTAGATAAGTATGTAGGGAACTTAAACTTCCAAAATCATTCATTAGTAGGTCACTGATTTATTATTATTATTATTAGTTGTTTATTTATAATATTTTTTTATTTAAGAGCATGTCCCATTTAGGCCTTGCATTGCTTAGTACGTTCTGCTTGCTCGTCTGTACTTTGTATGTTTTTCTTGTTATATCTTGAACTGAGGACTGTCTCCTCAAAACTAGCTCAAAAATCTTGTGACTGACTACCTCAGCAGAACTCGCAATCATACCTGCTCTCTTGTACAAATTGCGCACAGTTCTATGTATTTCAGATCTGTATATATTTTCCATATTGTATAAAGATCAATTTGTGTTTTTGCACTATTTATTCTATTTTATACACTTAATCGTTCCCTGTATGCACCAATCCCAATGAGACATATTCTTAATACTGTACATATGCATATAGCTGACCAAACAAATGATTCTGATTCTGCCGCTGGCGAAAATACATTTCTGCATCTCCCGGTTTTGCGTAAAGTTCCTTGTTGAAAAAGGAATTTTAAAAAAAGAAAACTCTATACATTTGTTTTAACTTTCATTTTCGATTCATGCTAACTTAAGTTGTCCTCGTTTGAGCCCGAGTCACTCGTTCAGGTTTAACTGGGATACCTGGAAATTTAGAAAATGAGATATACATTGTAGATGTGCTGTGTGCAGTAAGTGAAAACATGCTTCTATGGAACAAAGGCCTTTATACATATAAAACACATTGATTGCCTCTTTCACATACACACTACAGCTCTATCTGCTGAGAGAAAGTATATAACCATTCTTTTGCTTCTACATTATAAAAGGCAATAGTTTTTCTTTTGTTTAAAGTATATAGTTTGTAATTTGTCCACCTAACCATTCCTATGCACACAAACACTCACAAAAATAAATCTCACATTGCACAAATCCAATCAATCATTACAGTTTGATCACCATAAAAATCACCACAGTCACTCAAGTACATTATCAAGCATTAGAACATTGCTTAATCTCAATAATATAATGTAATTAGGAGGAATATCCTGTTTACGCTGGTGAGTGTATTCTTTGTGCACTCTAATGTCTTTGGTCACACGATGACCTGCTCTTAATCTTCATAAATTCAGAATAAGGTACAGCAACAGTTTCCTCTTGTGTAAAATTAGCAAGCGTCTTGCCTCAGGTGTCCATAGCAATGCGCCACCTGCTGTCCTTAAATATACTGTTTATAAACCCTGTGACCATTGTGTGGCTCTTTCAATTGGCTATTTTTATAATTGTACTTTTAACTTTCATGTCTTGTGTGTCAATGAAGCCATTCTTGCAACAAAATAGGGTTGGATTCAACACAGGTAGGGACCAAATCAGCCCAGAAGCACATGTCCTGCTAAACACACATAGTACTCCCACAATATTGATAAGAACATGTCCATACTATCCACACCCAGATCTATTCCCATGTATTCCTGGCTCTCTCAATGTATCATTTTTTCAGTTTAAATTTTTGCATCTTAATGAAGTCACTCATTAATTTTATGTATTCTGTCTGTCTCTTAGTAACACACCACATTTATACTTATTTATACTTATGAAGTATAGATAAGGAATGGTGTGTGAGGTGTGCGAGGATGGTGTGTGAGTGAATGGTGTGTGAGTGTGCCCTGCGATGGGTTGGTGCCCCATCCTGGGTTATTCCCTGCCTTGCACCTATAACCTCCGGGACAGGCTCCGGACTCTCCGCAACCCTGACCAGGATAAGCGGTAACAGAAAATGGATGGGAGGGAAGCATAGATAAATGGTTATCATTCAGTAGAACAGAACAAAATGGTGACTGGTTCAAGACCGAGTTGCCAATCACGTGGTATAGACTAATATGTGTTTCGATGCATCCAATGTCATTGTTGTTTTTTTTTCATTGTTTTGTTTTATCTATGGCATCAGTGAAAATGCACCGTAAAACATTAAACTTTAGTTACATCATCCCTTCATGGGAAAATGCTGTGTAGAGATATATGTTGCATTAGGGTTTTAACAGAATTAAGTAAAAGCAGGCTGTACTGTCATTTGGAGATTGTTTGGGAAACTCAGCAAGAATGCTTGGTGTAGTCTGGAAATTAAATGTACCGTTCAGAGTACAGCATTGCTCAGAGACTTTATAACAGGAAATTGACATGTTTTATGATCCTATGTCAAAGCTACGGTCTAGCTATTTAATTTCTGCCACATTGCCTGGGGCCCAATCCAGAGTGAAGTGTTGGACCAAATAACCAGCTGTGAATATGACACACTTTCAGTATTGCAGAACTCTGGGGGTCAGAGAAGCACATAACATAAGTAGAATCTAAAGGTCATGGTGAATTTAACCCAAGAAGAACAGGGCATGAAGCAGGGGGTACCAAGGATACACATGATGCACCTGGGATATTTGGTGACCCCCCCCAGTGCATAAAGTGGGCCAGAACCACATGTACAGAGAAAACAACAAAGACCCTAGAACAGAGCCTTGTGGGACCCCACATGTAATTCTGACTCACTCCGAGATAAAATATGTTGTGTATAAAGAATGATCTGTCTGCAAAATACATCTGAAAACAATTATAGAACTAGGGCATGTCTGAAAACAAACCTAAAAATACAGCAGCAGCACGTATCTCTAGTGCAGCTGCAGATTTAATTAAAAATGCCCTTTCAGTCAAAATACACATTCTACTTCTAGACACAGGAGGAAGATAAATCAGACAGTGTATAGTATCATATACACACAGCCTTAGGAACATGTACATTAAATGAGGAGAACCTCCCAGTGTAAGTCACTAACATGCCCTTTTTCTTTGTTGCCCTGCCAGCCTCATATATATTTCTTATAACAGGCCATTGTATTTGTATTATATTAATGAATGTGTGTAGTTTCACTAACCTGGTGCTCTATTTTAAATATAATCAAACATTATATGTGTCTTTTACAGTTTTTCATTCGTAGCTACGGTGTGATCTCACTATGAAAAATACTTTCTCCATTGGTTATACACTACCAGTCAAAGATTTTTTGCACACCACAGGTTTTTACCACTTTTCCATTTATTTCATAAACTGCAATTTTTTTTATTCTTGTTAAGCATTGGAAAGTTGAGTCAACAAGTATAAAGGAAAATATAAGTCAAATAAATCAAGTTTCCTTTATTACATGGAAAGAGTATGTAACAGTGCATGTCTGACATCCTACTAACTGGTTGTGTGATGATGGCACAGTCAAATTCTAGTTAACTGTTTCATCCTATGAAACAGAGCAGTATTTAATGCCCCTTTGTCAGTTTCTGCCCCCTAGTTGTCTCTGGTAGAATTGTGGTATGTATGTTACTACATTCATGAGGCATATCATGCTGAACACGTTTTGGCATAATGATGTTAAAATGCCCATTTATAGTTTTTTCATTCAACTAGGTTTAATATCTTCTGATACACACAGTGGCCATGAAACCCTAAACCCAGTAACTCAACCCAGAAAAAGCATTTAGCCTATTTGATTTTCTCTGACACCGAATGTTACTAGATCTCCCCACAACAGACAGGAAGATGGATGGATGGATGTTACCTGATCATCAATTAGAGTGAAATATTAGACAAATGAAATAGCAGACACATTCAATACCTGTGTATTTAGTAAAGAAAGTTACACAGCATCCGTTTGAAGGAGTACCTGCCCCAGCTTAATAACTAATAACTTGTACATAACTTGTACATTAACCATCAATGACTGCTACATTTCCTTTAATTATTAGTAACGGTAATAGTATATGACCGTAGGTATGGCATCCATTTTATATATATATATATATATATATATATATATATATATATATATATATATATATATATATATATATATATATATATATATATATATATATATA